TTACAGAGCCATATAAAATGTTTTTAAAACAAATGATTTGACAGCAACTGCTGACCTAAGAAACAAGACCGTGATCCCTGAAGAGAGAGCCAGGGCAACGCAGAGGGCAGAACCCCTTGCTTGGCTGCACAGCACATACTGTAGCTGAAGGAACTCCCTCCTGAAAAGTAAGTGTCCTACAGTCAGTCCTGGGAGGGGAGATGTATTAATGTTCAGATTACAACTCCCAGAATCCACATGTTGGCTGGTGGATTCTGGTGGTTGTAATGTAGAAAACAGCAAAGTTTCCAAATTCTGCTACAGTTAGTGTCAAAGCAAGGGAGGGGGAGAGATGTCTACAAAATTAACTTAAAAGATTTTAAACTTTTCCAATAGTTTTCAAACAGTGCATACATTTATACAGCAGCAATACACAGGGGGAGAGAGAAGAAAAGCCAAATAGGTTCTACTGATAATACAGTACATGAAGGCTAAAATTGGCAACACTTGGTTTGATAATGGTAATTCAGATGTTTGGGTTTGAAACTCCCATCATGGTCAGTGGTTGAGGATGGTGACCGTTTTAGACGAAAACATCTAGAAGGCCAAATTAGGTTCTTCAGCCAAGTTGAAGAGAGGGCTATTCCACACTTGTGAGGCAGCTTTGGCAAATCTTTTTTTTTCTGTACTCACAGCTTGCAGTGGGGATGGAGGGAAGGAGGCAGTTAATTGCAGAGTTGCAATTAGCTAATTTCCCCCCGATGCAAGTAGAGCAGCTCCCATACTTTCACAGTGTGTTGACAAAAGGGGAAAAAGAAAAGAAAGCCAAAATATTATAGCACTTTAAAGACCTATTTCACAGTAATTTTGTAAAGGACAGAAAGAATAGTAATGTATTCATTTTAGCCATGAGATTGACATACACCAATCAACCAATGCATAATAGGCCAGCCAACACACCTTTAAAAAAAGAAAGATGCTTCCAGTTTATTTTAAAGTTTGATTTCTTCCATCATTTTAAATACATGTGCCTGTGCACTCTTGGAAAATGATAAATACAAGAGATTCTAAACAATCTAAAATAGTAGATAATTTTAAACCAACAAACATTAATATGTTTTTATGAATTGACAACTACTGTACAAACACTGTCTACCAGTGATGAGTTGAACAATCTCAACCATTTCTATTCCCAGCTTTCACGGATGTCAATAAGCAACCCAATTCTCAAGGAGGAGGGGAGAGCATGGGACAGTGCAGAACCATGAATGAGAATGCTACATGAAGCCTGACATTCATGACACTTGGTATAAATTGAATTTTTAAGGCCTGTTTGGTTGTTTCCTACCCAGGTCAGCTCACCAGACTTAGAAGAGAAGGGCTTTATTTTCACTTTCTACATGTTCTTGCTCGCAAGTAGAGCCTACACGTGAGCACAACTCCACCTGCACACTTGTCACTTTCCACATGTAACAGGCCATGGTGGAGAGAGAAGGGCTGTTTCCATCAAAGCATAGTGAGTTTATCTGGGCGAGGAATGACTGGATACAGCTAAAGAAATGCACTGTTAGGGCTATGAGCATAGCATGCTTGGAGTAATCAGAGGTATGCAATTCCCACCGTAACCGACCCCAAGTACCTTAACTTTGTGCAACTGCGCTAAGTGCCTCATGTTGTTTTGCCTTTGTTATGGCTCTGTGTACTTTATTGAAGCAGAAGAGAATGGATTGGCCATCCAGAAGAGGATCAATCTTGGAAGAATGGGATGAGTAGGTTAAAATCTGGTAACACTGTACTTTATCCACATTCCAGGATGCAAGGTCACAACAGGCCTTAAAGGGTTTTGCTGAGACAAGACAACTTGAAATTCTACAGATACGTAGAGTCTACAGTGATGCACTGGTCAATTGCTACAACCAGCATGCCCCAGACTAATGCAAAACAAACAACAGTGTGGATTCACCCACCCAGACTTCTTTCCTCAGAGGGAACGATTTGGCCACCATGTTGTGTGAGGAGGCTGGGTAAGCAGATCTGTAGATGCATGAGGCAGCACTGGGTGGCAGAATGAAGACAGTAGAAACGTTAGAAGTAAATCAACAGTTTTGTTGGTTTATTTCAGTGCATTGATGTTGATCTTGAATTCTAGGCTAGTCTATTTCTAAAGCTTCATTCCCTATCCCTAAAGTGGAAAATAATAACCTCCTTGTTTGGGATAAATGAGAAAATGCAGGTTAAGGCATTAAGGTACAAGTGCTAAACAAATTTATTGTGTGCTTTGGAGACCATTCTTTGTGAAGGATTGCAACTGAACGGATTCAGAAGAGCAATCTGAGAAGGAATGAGGTAGATTGACCAGGCCAAAGCACTTTTTCCTACCTTGAAAATGCAGGTTAAGGCATTAAGGTACAAATTTATTGCTGTGCTTTGGAGACCATTCTTTGTGGAGGATTGCAACTGAATGGATTCAGAAGAGCAATCTGAGAGGGAAGTGAGGTAGATTGACTAGGCCAAAGCACTTTCTCCTACCTGCTCCTGCTAGCCTGACACCATGTCTGTTCTTTATCCATAACCCTGTTTTGCCTCCCGAAAGTGACAACGAAAGCTAGCTGTCATCATTCAGGTGGACTAGATTTGGCTCAAACAACTCTCAGCTATTGCTCCAAAACATTTACTGTACTTGACTTTTCGTTTTGTCAAAATTCCCAGAGTAAGAAATAACAATTACAGCCACAAAAGTAGAATGGAACAATATTATACTATAAAATCAGAGGATTAAAATAATAGTGTCAATTTAAACTAGTGGGCAAAGTATGTAAGCATGAACTAGTTTTACAGGTGTGTATAAAACACGGTAATAATATACCTTTTATTACTAATTGAGCACTAGCAGTAAACTGCTTATAACAAAGTCAAACTAATTAACTAGAGTTGTGAGGCTTCTGCAATTACTGAATTCTAAAGTGAAAAATCTATCTGAATGCTAAACAGCCAGCTCTGATTTAAATCTCCTTTGTCTGCACAAGCAAGGTTCTACAAAACAGGCAATGGGGCTACTTAATGGTATGGCTTTCTTCACCCAGAAGTGGAACAGTACATTACTAATGTTACTACTTCTTAGTTCTAGTACTTTAAAGACCATTACGGTAGTACTATTGATTGTTTGGGGATATCTGTTCAACATGCATTAGTTACATCCATTCCCTCTTCAGACATGTTTAGTGACCTCTATTGAGACAGAGAAAAGCCCTCTGCAAACTTGTTTAGGTCCTGTGATGCACAACATATTCAGAACATCTGCACATCTGATGCTCCAGTAAAAGGTGGGACATTATTAGATTAGCTGGTTTTAACCATTTTTAAAAGAAAATGGCTAGAATACTTAAGCTTGTCTAAGACTGATAGTGTTATCAGCAGGGCCAATTTTTCAGAAATTAAACATTTCCTACTTCTGCCTCAAGGCCCCTACCTTCATAGGGAGCCATGGCATCCATGGGATAGAAGGAAGTCTTTAATTAGTGAAAATTGCTGCTGCCAGTAAAATCATTCCAGCAGTGGCAATGTTTAGTAACTAAAGACTTCCCGATTTCTTGACAATAAAAGGGATTGCACTTGTTCAAAGCATTAAAGGAAAAATAGAAATAGTCACACCCCATGAAAAAAATAATAAACAAGTGATATAGAATGATGAGCTACAGAAGGGGATAGTATTGCACGCGTTTCATTCATTCACTTTTGTTACACTCACAGCTCTTCTATTCCCCACTTTTATTATTCCAATAATTCTGTGAGGTAGGTCAGGCTGAATGAGTGAGTGACTGCACAAGATCGCCATTAAGTTACATGACTGTACAGAGACGAAAACCTGGCTCTCCCAAGTCTATGATCACTACACCCCTGGTCATGCCATAAGCACTCTCCCTTTAGAGAATCAGCTATCTTTCCCCTAGCCAGTCTCTGCCTGGTTTAAAGGAAATGAAAACTGTCAAATGGAAAGCAGACGAGGAGCAAGCTTGGATTAATTATATCCACTAGCATTTCTACACTTTCTTCATACAACTTGGGTGTCAAAGGGCATCAACCATAAAAGAAAAAATTTAATTAAGTAATCAAGTGTCATCAAGTCAATTCTGACTTACAACAACCCTCCCAGGCAAAGCAAGTTCAGAACACATGTGCACATGAGTTTTTTTTTCAGGTATGAAGTCCTTAAAGGAGATTTACTAAGTAACTCTTTCTGCTGACACACTGGAACTGCACAACCTGGCCAAGGTTGCACAGGTGGCAGGGCATTTGGCCCCATTAGCCACATGCACTCCATGTGATCCCAGCTCGGAGGTGCAGTGGAGGCTTGACCTTGCCATGAAGCCAAGCACAACAACGCACTAGGGCAGTAGTTCCCAACCTTGAGTTCTCGGACTACAATTGCTGGAAACCTGGCCAGCATAGCTAGTGGTGAAGGCTTCTGGGAGTTTTAGCCCAAAAACATCTGGAGACCTGCGTCAAAGTATACCAGTTCCCACAAATGTCTGTTCCTTAATCCCATGCATATTACATTTGCACATGAGACTGATGTCAGTTACTTTTAGGCAATGTGAACAGACTTCCTATAATAAAAAAGCACTTTTTGAAGTCTTTTGTTACATTCTTTTAATAGCAGCCAGCCCCTATTAAAACTCGTTTAGCACTACACAGGGGAGACAATACTTTTAAAATACAGTACTTGAAAGGTTGTTAAACAGAGGTTGTATGATTTGTTCCTGATCATCCCAGAGTGCAGGACAAGTAATAATGGGCTCAAGCTACATGAAGCCAAATTTCAGCTGAATATCAGAAAAAGCTCCCTAACTGCTAGAACAGTACAACAATGGAACCAATTACCTCAGGAGGTGATAAGCGCTCCAGCGTTGGAGGCACTCGAGAGAAACGTAGGCAACAGTCTGTCAAATAGACTTTCACTTGGATTCCTGCACTGAGCAGGGGATTGGACTCGATGGTCTTATAGGTCCCTTCCAACTCCATTATTCTATTCTATGATTTTATTTCTATTAATTTATGTCAGAAAGTTATAGTCCCAGCGGATACAGCTGTCATAGTTCATACTTCTTTACCATGACCAATATCTTATTTCAAAGGCAGTTTTAAATGTAGAATGGCTGCTACAGTCTTCAGCAGGTTGCTATTTCTCAGGGAACAGACGTATAATTGGAACTGGGCCTAGTCTGCACATCTGTTGCTTTGGTCAAATCCTCATATCCCCAACTCAGTGGTATTTCCGCCAATAACTGTGTTCTTTTGAAAGAGAGAGGGGAAAAAATGTTAGCAATGTAATGGTTCAGCATATGCACAGAACGCTGTCTTGTAGAGCTTCATAGTTAAAATGACTATAAATACCTCAATATTTGCATTCTTGTACAGATTTACCTAGGATTAAGCTGCATCAGAATCAGACTTAATTCCAAGTAAATATCCACAGGACTGATGTAAATGTCTTGATTTAAAAAGTCATATATTCTACTCCTC